AGTTTATAAATTATTATTTTTTCATGTCTTACACTGACCAATGGCTCCCTTCACCCACTTTTCTTTTGACCATCCCCCAGGGCGGGGGATTATATGTAGATCATTGTAATCAGTTCCCCTTTCTCTCCCCACCTTCCCCCCATCCTCCTGGTGTCTCCACTCTCATTATTGGTCCTGAGGGGTCTCTCTGTCTTGGATTTCCTGTGTTTCCAGCTCTTATCTGTACCCGTGTACATGCTCTGGTCTAGCTGGATTTGTAAAGTAGAATTGGGATCATGATGGGGGGTGGGGAGCATTAAAGAACTAGAGGAAAGTTGTGTGTTTCATCGGTGCTATACTGCATCCTGACTGGCTCGTCTCTTCCTTGTGACCTTTCTGTGAGGGGATGTCCAATTGTCTACAATGGACTTTGGGTCTCCACTCTGCACTACCCCTCTGTATTAGTCTTGATACATTAGCGAAACAAAGCCACAGACACTCATATGTAAAAGAGAGTTTTATATAAAGGGTAAGTGCACATCAAGAAAACATCCCATCCTAGTGGTGCCCAAGCCCACAAGTCTAACATTAGCCCATTTGTCCGACAGATGACGGCAATCTTGGTAATTCAGAACAACACGGCTCTGCTATCTTACGATTCTAGAGGTCAGATGCCAATCTGTTTCCAGGCCTTTCCCCATTTCTAGAAGTGTCCAGGATTCCTTGGCACATGGCTTCTTCCTCCAATTTCAAAACCAGCATCGTCCAATCTCCCTCCCACTCTATCCTCCTGCCCAGCTCTTCCACGTTCCAGGTTTCCTGTGATTGCGTTGGGCCCACCCGGGTGACAGGGACGCCATCTCATCATCGTCACATTCTGGACTTCACCTTATGTGCGCAGTCAGCTTTCTGCCAGGCCCTGCGGTTACTTTTCATTCTGCCCAGCTAGGGGTCTCGTTCCAGGGACTGTCAGAGATACTGCTCCGAGGCTTCTCAGGAGACTTGGCAGGGGATGGCCATCAAGCTGCTGGGGCCTCTGTCTCAACAGGACCAGCACTGTGCTGGGGTACCTGAGGCCCACAGAGCAATGAGTGACCCCAGGGGAACCCTGGGCCCTGTTGGGAGGGAAATGGTGTCCTGGAGAAGTCACTTGGTCCCTGGTCTCTCTAGAGCAGCGGTTCTCACCCAGGGGGTTGCAACCCCTTTGGGGGGGTCAAACGACTCTTTCACAGGGTTTGCCTAAGACCATATTTCTGATGGTCTTAGGAACTAAGACACCGCTCCTCTATCTGTCTCCACTAGGGTCTGCCCACGTGCAGATATGCCCACATACAGAGGCACCACAACATGTGGCACTGTATTAAAGGGTCGCGGCATTAGGGAGGTGGAGAACCACTGCTCTAGAGATATAGGCCAGTCCTCAGCACCAGAGAGATCTGGGTTCAAATGCCAGCTCTGGCTCTGCCTCTCCCCAGTAGCGTGAAGGTAGCCGAGGCAAGGAGGCTGGTGGTGGTGGTGGTGGTGGTGTTAGGCCTTAAATTGTGCGCTAACCCTTGTCCCGGTGGGTGAAACCCCTTTGGGGAATAGGACTTTCTGTACAATGTTAACGAGGACATATGGGGCAGGGTATGTTTTAAACTAATCATTGTTGAGTTATGTAAGGAGCAGGTTAGGTGCAGACATGAGGAAGTGCAGACAAGCACGGGTGGGGACCGTAGATGTGAGGCCACTGGAAGATGGCCAAGGAGCCAAGGAACAGAAGCTGGAAAGAGACCAGGGCCTCCTCCAAGAAGTGAAAGAGTGAAGCCTTACTCTACCGCTGGTGCTCTGGATTCGGAAGTCAGGCCCTGCTCCCTGGAGCCACCCACCTGTGGGGCTTCTGCCATGGTAGCATGAGATAACGCCCAGGAGGTGGGTATGGGGGGGCGCATGGGGGCACGGGGAGAGGGAGGAAGCTAACAGAGCGTCATGCTCACCACAGAACGGCTGTTCTTCTGGGCCTGTGAACAACGGCTCTGAGAGCACAAGCAATTTGTCCAAGATCACACAGCTGCTGCGAGCAGCTGCCTGCATGCAAGACCCACCCACTGGCCGCATCTACACACATCTATGCTGCCTTCGCCGCAGCTTTCTGGATAGTTTCCTGCACATCTCTTTACCGCCTTCTTATTGAAGTGCATCTGCTTTAGGATGAGACTTTGTGTTGTTCCCATAAACGGGACCATCGCAGAATTTCTGGGCTCGGTATGCTTAGTTTTACAATGTGCATGGAAATAAAACAGGAAACTGCTCATCCATACAGAGCACGCAAAAACGAGCTCACGCACACGTCGGTGGGGCGCTTCCCTCTCTTTGGGAGGCGACTCCACAGTCAGTTCTGCTTTTGCCTAATCATCCTGTCATTTATTGGCATCTCTAGATCTCTTCCAGCGGATGCAGGCCAAACCAGGGCTCCCCAGCCTGGCCCAGGGCCCACTGGCCCCTGCTTGGTTCATGTCCCGCAGATCTGGTCCTGCTGTCCAGGGACGGTGCCAAGCACACTCCCTCCTCAGGGCCTCTGTGCTTGCTGGTCCACCCGCGGCCCGGTAGTCCCACTTCTGGGCTGGTGCGCTGAGGTCTCTGCATGCATGTCCCCTCTTCTGCGCGGTCTCTCTGGTGCTCCAAATGCCTGCTTCATGCTCAGGCCTCGCTGCTCTCTCCCGGTAGGCCTTGCTGCCACCTGATGTCCTAGGAAGAGGGTGCGATGCAGAAGTTCAAGTGTGACACCCCCAGCCACACGGCCCGGACCCAATCCTGGCATCTTCCAGCTGCTAGCCCAAGGGCCTGGCGGACAGGGCACCCTTCGCTTCCGTGGAGAGTGAAAAGAGGCTTTAACTATGTTTACCAGCCGAGCTTTTTGGGACCCACAGAATAATTCCTGCCAAGGAGGAGGAGCTTGAAGATCTTTTCAAGCCCCTCCTGGGCAGCCATGATTGTTTGGGGCAGTGTCCAATGCTAACTCCAGCATCTCTCTGGAGGGCGGGCCTTTGTGGCAGCCCCTCCTCTGTTCTCACCCTAAGTCACCGTCAGCTCAGTTTGCGGCCACGCAATACTTCTTACAGGAATCTTGTAGTTGCTTTACGCTCTCTTCCTTTATTACAACACGGCTAACCTATCATCGGAGAAAAGACTAGAGAGCCCCGTGGAGCTCGCTTCCCGTGAAGAAAGCAGTACCGTGGGAAGTAGAGGACCCGGCCTTGCTTCCAAGGCCCCTTGGGTGGGCTTGGGCCTGTTTGTCTGCAGCTGAGGGCATTGATCCAGAGAGGCCTAGCTCCATTCAAGGCTGACTAATGCCAACTTCCCCGGTGGCAGGGGAGCACTTTTGATGACATGTGTCAGGGGTCTTGAGGCTCACGGGGGGTGTGTGTTAGACTGGGATGTCTAGAGAAACAAATCCAGAGACACTCATAAATGTGTAAGAGGGAACTTGATATCAAACAGTAATTTTATATTGAGAAAACATCCCAGCCCAGTCCAGATCAAGTCCATCAGTTTGATATTAGCCCCTATGTCCAATACTAATCCATAAATTCCTCTTCAGACTCACGCAGCACATGCAATGATGCTGAATGCAGGGAGGTCACAGGCTGGTGGGTGGAAAGTCTTGTGGATCCAGTAGCAGTGGGAGCATCTCAGTGCTGGCGTGGGTTTCCACAGTGGCTCCTCCAGCTCTCTGAGGGTGGCTGCTCAACGGGAAGGGGAGCAGAGAGTGAGGCTCTTTACTGGGCTCAGCAAGCATCCACGTGGTTTGTCAACAGGAAGACCAAGGCAGAGAGAGGAGAGGTTTCCAGAATCCTCATGAGAAGGCCATGCACACAGCGAGGGATTATCAGGCTGGGACCTGATTGACAGGCTAGACTCCACCCCTTCACTCTTCATACCCTCAAGTTGACAGGAGATTGTGTAACTCCCACGGGGGGTTGATGCTTGTGAGGATTTAATGCCTCAGGCAAGGCAAAGGCTGGAACACAGTCCAGGGACTGGGCAGTGATGGGATGGGAGCCCGGCGCCGCTCTTCCAAGCTCAGGGAGTCCGTGCTTTTCCCTGAGGCTGGGTGCTGAGTGGGAAGACCAGTGCTTCAAGGGGTGGACTCTGGAGCCCACCAGCCTGGGTTCAAGTCTGCATTCCTCCACAGACAGCTACAGGCCCTGGGGCAAGCCGAGTCCTCCTGCGCCGCAGCGTCTTCATCTGTAAAATGGGGTCCACTAAAAAGGGTGGCCAGCTATTGTGAGGATGGTGCCCGGCAGACAGTCCTTCCTTCTGCTGTTCCCAGAGTTACTATGGGCCGGCATCTACCTGACAGTCCCTGACCACCACAGTGCCGCCACCACTGCAGCCGCCGCATGGGCATTCCTGAAGCTTCCTGACCCTCGCCCCATCCAGTCCCACCGGAGCTTGTTTAATCAGTGCCCAGCAGACTCTACAAATGCCTGTCCAATGACGACTGCCCACTGCCTCTTCCCTCACACCCCAGGGAAACTTCCATCACGCTTCATTCTGTCTGTGGCATTGCCTGCTCTGTGGAGGTGATGGAAGAGACCAGGAAAGGAATTGTTACCCACACATACTGGCCAGGACCCAAGGAGTGAATCCACGAATGTGCCATGAATGAACCTTGACATGTGGGAAACGCTGGACAGCCGCTGGTTTTGTAGCCAGCTGGACCTGGGTTTGAATCCCGCCACCACGGCGCGGCTGACTGGTTCTGGGGAAGGGCCTTGCTTCTCTGTTTCTTCACCTGGAAGTGGGTTTGGTCACAGCCCTGTCCCCAAGGTGGGTGGGTGCTGTGTGCTCGGTGAGCAGGATATGTGGCAGGGCAGGACCCCAGGCCGGGGGTGGGGGTGGGTGGAGGCCCAGGGGCTCTTGGTGGCAGGCTGTGGCCCCTCCTCCACTGCAGTCCCGCCCCCGTGGTGACGACCTTGCCCCTGCCTATCTAAGGGACAGGAAGGAAGCGAGGAGGGCAGCAGCTCGCAGCTTCCCCTTTTCTGTCCTGCTCCGGGCGCCCGGCTCCTTCCCCCACAGTGCCTCTGAGCAGGCAGCAGAGCCGCCATGGCCCTCCGCACAGCTGCCATTCGCCAGACCTGCTGCTGCTTCAATGTCCGCGTGGCCACCACCGCCTTGGCCATCTACCACGTGGTGAGTGTCCGGCGGGCTCAGGGAGAAGTGTGTGTGTGTGTGTGTGTGTGTGTGTGTGTGTGTGTGTGTGTGTGACTAAGCATGTAAGATATATGGGGCACTGTATGCGTGAGGGTTTGTAAGGCACTGTAAGTGTGTGATTGTGTGTGACACTACGTCTCTGGGTGACTGTGTGTCAGGGTTTGAGTGTGGGTGTCTCAGCCTCTGTGAGTGTGTGAGTGTGGGGCCCCCTCAAATCTGAGGGCCACCATTCAGGGCTCCTTGGTGGGATCTTGGGCCCACCCCTCCCTGCTCTGTTGTTTCCCCTCTGTGGACTGGGGCAGGGTCTCTGCAGCCGCCCCATCCAGGGCCCTCCGCTCACCATCCAGTCTGCAGCTCAGTCTCTGCGTCTGGAAAATGGGGCAGGGGCGCAGCCCCCAGGTAATCTGGGACTAGGTATATGACAGCACTTTGGGCAGCCAGGAGTCTGGGGGAAAGGTAAGCCTGGCTTGTGACAGGCTGTGGGTCAGCTCACCGGCACCGGGCGTCCCTCTGATGTCACAAACATTTCTAACACAGGGGACTCTGAAGGGCTGTGACCACTGGCATCACATATGCACGCACACATACAGTGCTCAGGGAGAAGGGTGTGTGTGTGACTGAGTGTGTCCTGTGTATGGAAGGGATAGCACCAAGCCAGGGCTCGTCAGAAATGGCTTTGAGCTTCCATCTGGGAGAGGCAGGCTGAACCCTTTCAGTTTACAGCTGAGTCGAGCCTCGGCCTCCCTGCCGAGAAAAACAGAGGCCTTGTGGTGATTACATGCCCGTCTCCAGCTCCTGCCGAGTGACAAGAAGGACATACCCCCCCACCCCCCCCCACGCTCCCCAGCAGTTCCTCTTCTGAGGCTGGTGGTGAGAAGGCCTTGTTTCCTGCTAACCCTCCTTGTTCTGCGTCAGTCTGGGCTGCAGGCTCCCCTCTCTTTGGGGTGGCTGATGGTTAGAGTCTCAGTTCTGTCTCATCCAGACCGCTGCCCACCCACCCCCCACCCCACCCTCCGACTCCCAGCTATACCCAGCTCCCCCAGACCCTGACACCTCCCTCCTAGGGTGATGACTCAAGGCCTGTGGTTAGCAGTTCTCTCAGTAGCCTGGAAGTACTTCCTCAAAACCAGCCCAACGCGGCATGCCAGGCATGCACTATCAGCGGCTGCCAACTGTGCCGCTCTGCCCGCATCTGCTTCCTGTCGCAGGCTGGGCGAGCACCCTGGCTCCCGAGGGCCAGCACCCCTCAGCAGCTCAGTGCACAGCCGCAGCACCCAGACTCCTGCATGCAAATGTGCCTCCCCACTTCCTAGCTGTGCAGCCTTGGGCAACTTACTTAACCGCTCTGAGCACCAGCTTCTGCCTTTAAAAAGCAGGCCTGAGAACAACCACAATTCCTACGCTGTCAGCTTGCCGTGAGGACCCCGGGGCAGTGTCTGACAAGACCGAGCAGCTGCCTGGCCAGTCGTGGCTCTCAGGCCCCGGCCTGCCTCTGGACTCTGTTCAATTCAATCTCCTGCAGCCTAGGGACAGCGGTCACTACCTCGGAGCATTTAGGAAGTTCTCGGTGCAGTTCTTGGTACAGAGTCCTCGGTCCGGGCTATAAAGCCCCCATTCTTGCCAGGAGCCCTCAGGGCGGGGGCAGAGTCTCTCATTCACTCAGGGCCATGGTGGTCATTGTGACTCAGTGTGACCCTGTAGGACAGGGTAGAGCTGCCTCCTGTGGTTTCTGAGACTGTCACTCTTTATGGGAGTAGAGAGCCTCATCTTTTCCCAGCAGAACGGCTAGTGGTTTGGAACTGCTGACCTCGCAGTCAGCAGCTCAACTTGTAACCATTGTGCTATCAGGGCTCCGTTGGCACGTGGTCAGGCTCTGTATTTGTTGCCTGAGGACTGAATCCTTCAGGAGCTCTGGTACTTGGGGTCCCTGAGGGACATTAGAATTGTGGCACACAGGGAGTCCAGGGACCCATGGTAGCCCTAACTCCAAGGGCCCCCCACACAGTGAGCCTGGCCTCACCCTGGCCGGGTCTACAGGTAGCTTCCCCTCTGCGGACCTGGAAATAGGAGCGAGGGTGGGGCAGCCCAGCTCCTGGGCCTCACTGCTGCAGTGGCAGTCTCTGCTCCCTCTGATGCTGGTGTTCCTGGTGTCCCTGGCCCTGCCGGCGGGCACTCAGCCCGGGCCCCCTGGGGTAGGAGGAGCCGGGAGAGAGAAGAGCCAGCGTGGGCCCTGCCTGCCAGGTCCTTCACAGGGTGTGTGAGTGTGCATACACGTGGGCATGCGCATGATGTATGTGTGTGGTGCATGTGTATGTGGGCGGTACATGTCATGCGATGTATACTTGTTGGGTATGTGCCGTGTATGTTGGATGTGTGTGAGATGTCTGTCCGTGGGGCTTGTAGGATATGTTCACTGGTGAGATACTGTGTCTATGGTGTGTGTGGTATCGTGTTTCGTGTGCTTTTGTTGTGCATGCCTGCGTGCTGTGTGTGTTTCTGCCGTGTGGTGTGTGTCACGCGTGTTTGTGAGATGTGTGTGTGGCATCTGATAAAGGGAGCAGGGACAGAGGCCCTGGTTGGTGCTAACCCTTCCATTAGAAATGCTGTGACATGAGAGAGGGACACTAGTAGTCACAGCCCATCAGAGTCCCTGTGGTGTCTTCCCCAGGGCACAGGTGGACCCCACACTGTCCCTCTGCACAGCTGAGTCAGGCTGGCGGCGTGGCAGGGTCTGTCCTGGTTTCAGGAGGGGCTCCAAGCCCCTCTACCATCGCTGCAGGCCTTCCACTCAGACAAAGTCCTTAGCACTCCCAAGGCCAGACTGGCCCTGAGGGACTGAAGGACATGGAGCCATCCTGAACCTTGGAGCCTCTAGGTGCTCGGAGATGGTGCAACGCCCCCAGCGGACAGCATGGGGTGGGAGGCCCCTAAGAGACAGGTGGGGCCCTGAAGAACAGTGTGGGGTGGGAGTCCTGTGGAAAGTTATGCACTGAAGGCCTGAAGGCCCAGCCTCTTTCTGAGCTTCAATTTCTCCATTTAGAAAATGGGTGTGTGTGTGCAGGGGGCGGGGGTGAGGGGGTGACAGGGTATGGACTGTCAAAGAGGTCTCCAACCCCTGTGCCTCCAATACCAGGTAGGTCATGCACCCGAGTGCAGTGGTCAGATGTGTACCCAGTTGGCCCTTTGTGCCCATGAAGGACTGTGGGCCTGGGTGGTGGCTCTTCTGCTCAGAGAAGCAGGAGCCCAGGCTTTCCGGGACACCTTCTGGTGTTTCTATGCTGGCGACAGTCAGCTGAGGAAAAAACCCATTGAGTGCAGGCCAAGCTGACTCCTCTGCAGGCTGCCCCGCCGACCTGCCCCCTGCCACATCAGGGTAGGCTTCCTGGAGGTGGCGCCAGTGGCAGAGGGAGCTAGACTGTGGGGTGCACAGGTGGGGGAGCGGTGTGCACAAAGGGGCGGGGCTGTTGCAGGGGCATGGCAGAGGACCACCTGGTGGATGGAGGAGGACTCCCAGGGACCTGACCTGGGTGACTGCTGCATTTGGGCTCCCGGCTGCCTACTGAACGCTCAGTAGTTTAAACTGTGGAGGAAAGGCCGGCCGGGAGACCTGCTTTGAAAAGGAGTGCGGCCTAGAAAACCCGATGGGTCCATTCTGTGCTGTCCCACGAGACTGGCTGTACGGCATCTAACGGCCGTGACTGGCTCTATGGCATCTAACAGCAGTCACCGCCACACGGCTTGTCCTGTGCCTTGTCGGGGGTTTAGCAGCATCCACTGGAGGCCAGTCGCGTCCCCTAACTTTGAGTTCTGACAACTCAAAGCGTCTCCAGGAGTCCCTGCGTGACATGAGCAGTTCCTGTGCTCAGCCGCTAACAGTCGGTTCCACGTTCAAGGCTGTTCAGTTGTTGTGGTTAGGTGTCCTCGAGGCGGTTCCGACCCAGAGCAGCCCCACGCACAGCAGAAGGAACCCAGCCCTGTCCCCGCCATCCTCACCCCGGCTCCGATGGCAGGGCCATTGAGGCAGCCCCTGTGTCCGCCCATCTCCTTGAGGGCCTTCCTCTTTTGGGCTTCCTCTGCTTTCCCAAGCATGATGTCCTTCTCCAGGGACTGGCCCCTCCTGACAACACGCCCAAACGGTGTCAGACAAAGCCTGGCCGCCCTTGCCTCTAAGGAGCACTCTGGCTGTCCTTCTTCCAAGACAGATAGATGGGTTTGTCCTTTGAGCAGCCCATGGGCCTTTCAATCTTCTTCTCCAGCACCACCATTGAGACACATCGGTCCTCTTTTGGGCTGCCTTATTCAGTGTCCAATGTTCACATGCATAGGAGGTGATTGAAAATACCAGGGGTTGGGGCCGGAGCATCTTCGTCCTCAAAGGAACATACCTTGCTTTTTAATCTTGTGCAGCACACTTTCCCAAGCCCCAGAGGTCCCTCTAGAGAAAGGCCTGATGATCTCCTTGCAAACAAGGAGTCTGGGGGCAGCCTCAGGGCGAGGCAGCTGGTGCTGCTTATTCTGCTGTCACAAGGCTGGGTGTCCCTGAGGAGGACAGAGCAAATCGGTTCAACTGATGGGCTAGGCTGGGCCTGCAATCGGTGTTCTAATAATATATAATACAATCGGTGCCCAAGAAGCAAGGTAAACATGGCCTTACTTGTGCTTACTAACTGCAGCCACCAATTGCATGTTTTTTTCACTACACCTGACCTTCCGCGTCAAGGTCTGATTGGCGCCTGCCTCTTTCCCACCCCCACACTGGCTTCGCATAGAATCAAAGCCTCTTTGCAAATGTCAAATCCCCTGATAGGGACTGGCACCCAGTAAATAAGGTAAGCACAGGCTCACTTGTGCTTCCTTACTAATGTGTATGAACAATTACACATTTTCCATCACATCCCATGTGAAATTCTTCACTACGCATGAGGGAGGAAGCACAAGGGAGACTGTGTTTGTCTTGCTTATTGGGCAATCTGCCCTGT